CATCTTTCCTTTTTATGTAGAAGGAAAAAAAATCAAAGAAAAAAGGAAAAAAATCCGTACAATGTGTGATTCGATCCCACTAACTTATGGTTTGCAAGGCAGTACCTTACGGCACCTTTCAGCACCTAACGGCACCTTTCAGCACCTTTCAGCACCTAACGGCACCTTTCAGCACCCTAATCGGCACTAGGTGCTGCTTTTTCCCCCTTACTTCTCCACCTCTGACCTGGGATTTCTTACGCGTCTGTCAAGTATAAAAATATTCGCACTCAAAAATATATAAACACGTAGAGGATGTCCCTTCTCTCAAGTCTAGTGAAAAGCAATTTGTTGAACAAGAACACTTTGAATGATTTGCATCAGCGCACAGACCATATTGTAATTAGAGACCTTCGAAAGTACTGTGCGATTCGCACGACTCACAAGATATTTGCATTTTGCTGCCGCAGAGAAAGTCGCGTCATTCTTCTCCCAACCGATTCGACAGACGCCGCCATACGCAGCTTACGTCCTTGGTTGAATACGGTCCTCGGTTGAAACGCATGAATTTCATTATAGATATAAAAGAGCAGTTCAACACTATGCTTTTGTTCTATGATTAAATAAAATTTGTCCAATGCAGACACATATAAAGACTCGATTGTCTCTCGACAAGAATCTTGTGAGATTTAAAAGAATTTGACAGACATCTAGATACAGTATTGAGTTACATTATGTAATTTATATCTGGCATGGGAATCGACAAAGCAAACTGGTGATTTTATTATCAACGAATCCTGCCATTTCAAATAAGAATCTTTTGCGTAAAAAGATGAAAACATCAATAAAAAGTTAAAGGAAGAATCTTGTCTGATTTATTCAGACAAACTTAAAGATTCATGTCTGAAATGACAAGAGACAAGAATCTTGCAAGAAATACCACAAGGATATCAGTGGACTTGCGATCGATAGAAAAAGGGATCATTCTTCATATACTGATTACATGCATCTTCTTGAAGAAAAATCAAGCAAAACATGATGCATAAAGTCGAGTTTAGAAACTCTATGCTCCGTTTGACTCCAGTTAGTTAGCAAAACTTCGCTTGTTGATCGTACGACTTATATTTTTTGCTCTGTATCTGTGAGTGAATATCAGACTCGTCAATAATAGCTTAGGTTATTAAGTTTCTCATTCTTATAACGGGTGGGCCATAAAGAATGTCGGTCTGAGTATGTCGTTAATATTTCGCTGAGTTTTCATTGTTAAGGCTTTAACTTTTTAAAAAAGATTTGTCGTTTCATTCTCTACAAAAAACACCTTGAACACTTTTTTATATACCGCAGAAATAAAGAAAGATAGGTGAAATACTCCGAAGCTTCAATTTTCATTACTTTCTAACCCAAAACACAACGAAAAGATTTTTTATAAAATCGATATAAGCAAAAGTTTCTCCCGTACCGAATTGCGATTAAATCGCATGTTCAAAATAAATATCTCGCTAACTTGATCGCTAACTGTATCGCTAACTTGATACAAGTTAAATAAAATTTTGCTAATCCAACAGAATGTTTACACGAACATACTAATAATAGTACAACAAGCGAACAGGATTGTTGCCACACCAGAAAACTATTGAATATAACACACCAACGAGAAGGATAAATACCTAGCCAATAATACATTCAATAGTTTTCTAGTGTGGCAACAATCCTGTTCGCTTGTTGTACTATTGTTAGTATGTTCGTGTAAACATTCTGTTGGATTAGCAAAATTTTATTTAACTTGTATCAAGTTAGCGATAAAACATGTATTCACCATTAGGCAAACGAAAAGCAAAAGGGCGTCCCAAGAGAGTTAGCACAGCTCGAAAGAATTTAGTGATCATTTGTATCTAAAGTCTAAAGCTGTTTGGTGATCAAAAAAATTGATATCCCGAAGAATCAGTCTCATGACTCCTGGCTGAAATCACAAGACAGAAATTTCAGCCAACAATCTTGAGATAAAAATGCATGTATAATATTTGTAAAGATGATTGGCTGAATCTTGCCATAAATACAACAAGAACTGGATCACTATCCATCCATACGTTGAAAGAAAAAATGAAATGTAAGCACGTACAACGTGTTTCTCACGTGAACTATAGCCTACACAGAAACACGTGCACACGCGTACAACATGGAAACAACGTGAACACGTTTTCTTTTCTGTCGCTACACAAATAAGGGAACTATAATAATTAGAAACACAAAATAATTAAAAACCGAACTATTTTACGAAAATTTTAAACTCTTCAGCGTCTTTAAATCACTTGTACTGCTATTTTAGAATATATTACTATGTAATAACTGATTTAAAAACCCAACAACGTACTATTCATATTAATCTGTTCATCAACAATAGAACAATAAAATGATTTCTTTTGCAAACACATATAGACTAAGCTTAAGGTTAAGAGCTTTGTTTTCTACTTTTCTTTTCAACCGGTCAATATGTCAAAAAGGCAAAAATAGATTTCCAAAAGCCATGATCACAGATCATTATTTGCCACCATCCTTTTCTCACAATTGTTCGTTGTATATCAATAACTACAAAAAAGTTTATTACTATCTCTCGTTTTTTTAATCTACATGGGAATTTAGACTGATTGTTCTTTTCATTTATGGTTCATAATATATCTTATCTAAGAACTACAATAGGTTAAAAGTTGAAACAATAGTTACACACGCTCTTTCGCATTACTTTGTTTTTTTTATGTCAAATTTACTATTAATAATTTTGACGTGAGTAATTTTGTTTTTTCGATCTCTGCCCTGTTTTTTTATTTCTGCGTTATGCTCGATAAGAGAAGAAAAACTGTAATTCTGCGGCATTTGTTCTAATTCCATTTTTGAAACTAAAAATTCGATTGGTACGATAAAATAAATTAAATACTTTATCAAGTTTCTTAGAACGCATTTCATAATCGATTCTATCTATGAAAAACACTTACAAAACTCTTCCCAGTTTGTATTATGAAAAATTTACGCTCATGCAGTGCAAGTTCAGCACTGCTTTATGTACTTATTCCCTAACAAGCGTTCTACAACAAGGAATCGGCGACGATTCAGAAATATCATTTACATTCGACAGAAGGAAATAACAGCAATGATTCTAACATTCTGCTTTATTCTCATTGAGTTTTTTCACCTCTAGAAACCTATAGATTTGTACCACATAACAAACTCTCTAATCTTGCTCGATAACTAAAATATTTAGACTTTAATTATCTAGAACAGATTTCTTTTTATTGATAACATTGTATGCCAAGTGACAAAAATACAGACCAACTGAGTTGATCGAAACTAAAAACTGCTTGTATAAAAAAGGCTACTTGTAAATAACAAATGCAACGATTATCATGATGTTCTGTTTTTCTCATATTGCTTTCGTTATAATATATTAATGTAACGAGAGTGATCATCTTCTTTATGGAAAATTGACTTTCTTATTTTCACCTTCTAATTTACTACCATCACCCAAAGCAGCTTTCACGTAACCAACAGCACGTGTCATTATATTTGAAGCCGAGTCCTTAATAGTAGAAGAAGCGGTGTAATAATAATATTAAATATTTAACTATTTATGAATAATTACCCAATATTCTGCTGAATCAATATCTATTCGAAGAAGTGCTAGATCCGGATCATCGAGACCGCCTGGAAACCTTTAATACAGAATAGTCAAGAGATATTTTCAATTAAAATAATTTATTTCATTTCTTACCATGCTTTCAAATAATCATTCCATAATTCTTTTGCTTTTTGTTTATCTCGGATTAATTCAGCTCTGCCACAGACTGACACATAATTTTGTTTCGATGGATCAGAAAATGCGACATTAACAAGACTATTCTTTTTTATTTCGTCGACTTTATGTGAATCAGCGCGAGTAAAAAACCAAAGTTCACCATCTTTATCCACCTGTTTATAGGCCATAGGACGTGAATGTAGTTGATTGTCTTTATCTAATGTTGTTAGCATTGCAAATTGTATATCTTTAATCTAAAGTAGAGAGAAATTAATAAACATGCATGATCTACTAGAAAATTTGAACTAACCATTGATAATATGTGTTTCTTGTCTTTGGGATCTGTTGATACGGCCATTTTCGAGGAAAATTTAGTAAATAAGAATTAAAAATAATTAAATCTAAAAGTAATAAACGATTATTTGTAGCCTCTCTCACAGCCAAATCTTATTTGATCAGATTAAAATAATATGTCACACCAAGTGAGAGAATCAGTTTTAGAAAAATACTGCTTTTTTTAATTATTATCAATTAATTAATAATATATTTGTATATTTTTTCACTCGATAAATTAAAAGGTAACTTACACTGTCTAACATAGAACTAACTATTCAAATAAAATTCTCGTTTGTTTTCTGTTGGTAAAACTAACTTAGATAGATAACTTCTTTACTAAAATACGTCGATCTCTATATTAATATCATCCTGTAGTCAGTCAGACGTCCAAACATTTCATGGGTATTATCTTCTTTTCTTTTGTTATGTTCAGAAATAAAGATATAGTCGAGATAGTCTTTTCTTCGTCTTTCTACACATAGTGTTTGGTTATGGTATCATTATTGTCGAACAAAAATAACAGCCATCTCAAGTCAACAAGTCCGACGGTTATTATTTAGAACAGATGTTTCAGTCAAATGAATTTCTCTTTTAGTACTGACCTATACTACGTTCGGAATCACTATTGAATTACTGACGAGAAGAATTGATGTTGCGTTATGTACTTTTTTCTGTAGTATTTCCAAGCGAGTTTGACTATTATATATATTTTGACGGGTATTGAATCGAACTATCAGTGTGAAAATTAATAGAAGACAAAGCAAAATAGTGCGAGATTTGTGATAGCTCTCAATGGCACAATTCTTTTGCAATATACCCAGAAGATGGTGAACAAATTTCTCACAAAGTAACAGGATCTTTTATAATTTAAAATTACTATACAGACATTGTAGGATATCGTGAAACATTTGTTGCTCATGTCTCGGCATATTCTTATATAATTCTCACGTTGTGCGAGTTCCATGTTTTTCTCGTTTGTCGAATGTTATAAAGGAATAATTTATTTTTTGTGGTATCTAAGAAAAAATTGTTCTTATATGTTAGAAAAAACGAGAAAAATCAGAAAAAAAGAAGTGTGCATAGAACAGTGAAACTTATATAATCAGGTCGATCAGTGCAAAAAACACGTGCCTGAAATGTTAAACTTGGTAGAGTAAAGCATTCAGATAGAAGAATCTCACTGTAGTGTGTGTTGTCATCTAACTATTTACCTTTCAAATCTCAATGACAATGTAATCAATAAATTTCCAGACAAGCAGCCTGTTTTTAGTTGTGTAACCAATATAATTATGAATCTGCCGTATGAGTGCTTTGAAGACATACACTTTACAATAGGATTTTTAGTATTTCTAATATTGAATTCTTAAAAATCAATTCCATATTTTATTCTCATAACTTATCAACGGTCATTCTTCTTTAGGTGCTGATAGTCAAGCTTTTGTGTTCTCCACTTTCAGTATACAAATATAAACTTCAAGGATTGATGTTGTTAAACAAGTAAACTCTCCGGACCTTGGCAAACTGCAGATAATTTTTAAAGCAGATTAGAATCCTCCATTCAGCATCACAGTGATAGGACCTTTAAACTTGTATGAATCAATGTTCAGTCGAATAGTAATTAATTTTCACTTCTATAAATTTCTATTCCATGGTAAGGTAATAAAACTTTCATGATGCACTTATCTGTTATGTGACGTTCGAAATATGCTTTTAAGTGATTGAGCATCTAGCAAAAAGGGAAATATCTCTTGTCGCACGTGTAAATCATTTATATATCCGATCTCTGCTCTGTCTTTTGTTTCTCTTTTTCTTCTTCGTCCCTTTGCATCACGTGTCTGCCACTGTTTGCACACGTATATCTTGTGCGAGAAGAGATATCTTTTTTGCTAGTTGTCTATTTTTTGTTTTTTGGCCAGGGGTTTGCGATTAAAAGCCCGATTTTACGTGATCCTGCGGATTTTAAAAAACATTGAATAATATTGTCGGTTCAACGAACAGCATGATTACATTATCCATCATGATTTTTATTAAAACTTATTTAATTGCTTGATCTAAACTCATGGAACACAGCAAATCAACATGCAGCAATGAAATTTCTAATTATTTTTGCAAACTTTTTATCTAGCATTAAACAGTTTGTTTTTGAAATAATAGGAAATTTGCATATATTACTAATTATTGCAATGGTCCAGATAATAGAGATCGAAGAGCGTGCTCCTATCCAAAAGAAACGTACGGTTTTGGAATATTTCGATGCTCAATACAAATATTCAATTTTTTTACAAAAGGATAGTTGTCCTTTTAGTCTGACATCTTTGGGAATTGTTTACGTTCAGCTCGCTGAAAACTTGTAGGAACAACCAATAATAGCATTTGTGAAAAACTAGTCAGATCCATCTGAGACCGTTGAAATATCAGTATATGAAATTGGGACGTGAGACACGATAATATGTCCAAGTGGATCGTTTTCTATAATCGAAAATTCAATAGCAAAACCATGTATACTGATTAATTGGATGTAGGAATGTCACGAGAATCTTTTCAGTCTGTTTCAAATTTTATCATAAATCTCTAAAATAGGACTACATAAAATTTTTCGAACGGCTTCAAGTGAGATGTACATGATAATTAAGGTGATAGCAAGCTCTGAAATAATTTTTTACTTATAATAGTTTACTTATTTAATAACACATTTCTAACTAAGCCTAAGGAGATTCGATTAATATAGAATGGGCATAAATCTTCTCTTAATTATTAAGATGACTTGGTAAAAACTTTTTAGTTTAATTCATATTGTACAACATATTGTTGAAAATTCTTCTTTATGTACGTTATTGAAAATATCACATACCAGCACGTCAAAGTGAATAGTAGACGATTCACTTTATAATGAGATTATCGATGATGAGGAGTGAATTGCATTATGACTAACTGAAAGATGTCAAATCGTTTGTACTGCTTGCTTTCTTAATTACTGATACATAATTTAGGTTAAAGGTACAAAGAATAACCTTCAAAAATTATTTCTTTGCAATTTGGAGCATCACCACAGACTCTTTAACAATAATATTGCATTAGTGACTATTGGATTATTGATGGTAGACTAGTTAAGTTCTATAAGCCTTTTTTTAGTTGTGAATGATGTCTTAGTACAGTATACTTGAAACAGTGAATAGAAACATTTAAAACTCACTGCTTTGTTGTTGACTTTTATTGTAGCTTTAAATCTTTTTCATTACCTTCTGTCTTCCTCAGTACACATAAATGGACATCGATTACGTGGGATATTTGTACTTCTCATGATCGGTACGGCCAAAATATGCAAAACTAATAAATCTGTAAATGGTACACTTAAGTCAAGATCCCCCATAGGCGGGTGGTATCGACATATTTTGAGCAGGATTATCATTTATGGGTAGGATGTGTGTGTCTGTGCTTTCAATCGATCACTTAGTAATTTTCTCTACGCCAACGTTATAGATGTATCAAAACGTCTAGTAAGAAAATATCTATTATTTATTGTTTTATATCACATTCTGTTGAGAGAGAAAGAAACTGTATAAAAACGCCCGTTAGTATGCATGGTTTAGGCAGTAATGTGTTTTAATCTATATAATGAGCATTCGTTTCATTCAATATTTATTTTTTCACACAATAGTTGTGTATCTAGTCCGTTATCTATTTTTAGATCATCAGACTTTTTTTCTCTATTCAAAAGACTTTTCATTTTGAACATTTACTTTCTATTAAATTTTTTACTTTAACATGAAGGACGTATGTGAATAATTCGTACTGCTTATTCCCATACTAAAAAAGTAAATGATTTTTTTAGGATAGTACAATAACTCGAACATATATTCATTCAGATTTACCTGAATTTGATATAAGAAAAGATTTATGCGGCGTTCAAGTACGTTTTAAGTCTACAATAGCATAATAAAATTAATTAGATTTCTCTTTTATTTAGGATCAACGTATAAACTATTTGCGTCAATTATCTGGTTGTATCATTGATATGCATCAAGAAGAGGGTAGTACAATGTTCGAAAAAGTACAATGGATGATTACGTATGTAAAAAACCTCATAGGGTTTCAAATTCATTTTGCTGTACATTGTTTTACTTAGACATCCTGTTGAAGAAATACGCTCATGGGTTGTTACTCGTATTCAAAAATTAGCCATGCAGACTCAAATTAATTACAGTATGATGTTAGAAGATATTGTTTTTCAGCAACGTAAGTTCGAAGAAGAAATTAACTTTTTTTTCAAATATCATTCGTTATAATTATTCTGAATTTTTGTTTTTCGGATAAGACAAAGAACTGGTGAATCTTTTTGTATTTAGGATTTAATAAACAAGCACATATTTCAACTGAATCATTGAGTACTACACCAACAGAAGCCTTACATCAATCACCACTTCGTTTTACAGCACCCACAATATTACCACCTGATCTTGTTACACGAGCGCAAACTGATATTCGACCTCAAAGAAATCGTCGTTCAACGTTCAATGGACCTCGTCCGGGTAAGTATTAAATTTAATTCATTTAGATAAGATTTTTGAGAGACTAAAAGAAATTCAATACCACGAAATTTGTTGAAGTCGTTACGACAATTAAATTGTTATTGACGTTTTTCTTTAGCCAACGGTTTTCCAGGTTTATCGGAATTACATACAAAAGCACCTGTCTATCTCGATTTATCGAGTAAATTTGATTTACTGTTTAATGGACGTGAAAGTATAATTAATTTTCCTTTCATATGACTGAGTAGTTGAACTTTAATATTGTTTTAGATAGATTTATCGATGGTAAATCGACAAATGATACAAATAAAAAACCCTTATGTGAGTTAATTTTATTTATATAAAATTCTTTGACATACGAGTTTTATTTTTAGCACGACAACATGAATCATCAAATGATACAAGTTCAGACAATGGTAATGAAAAATGTCGTTTAAATTTTTCATTTTTTTTTATTAATATTTTTATTTCAGAAAATAGTGGAGAAGATTTGATCGAAATGGCAAGATGGGAAAATTTATTATCGGATTTGAGTGATGCTGAAAAGTAAACTATTGTCCATTTAGTTAATAATTGAAGATAATAATGTACTAATACTTACAGACGATAAGATAGAAAGGAGATTTAAAAAATGTGAAAGAATTTTAAATTAAATCGAAAGAAAATTTTTCTTGTGTTGAATGAATTATGAAAAGTTTCTGTAGCATAGTATTTATTATTTTCTTCTTTTCCTCTAGCGATAAAGGTAGCAATGAAACTGCTCGTTTGACTGATATTATTAGTTTATCACAATTGAAAACGCGTCTTATGAATAATAGAATCGAACTCGATGATGGTAATAATATTAATCAAATTCAGTCAATAATATTAAGAGGTGATCCATTGAATATTAGTCGAAAAAGGAATACAAAATTAATGAATCAACAATATTATTGTTTTTATCGTTTATTATTAAATGAAAATATAATATTATCAGATGGTATTAGTAAATCGAAAAAAATTGCTAAAAAACAAGCATATCGAAATATGGTCAAATTATTGTTAAATGAACGTGGTGTAGAAATACGAAAAATTCAAGATAATCGTTGGAAAGTCGTAATAAAAAAACCACAATCATTTATTGAACAACCATCAATAATGACCGATGCTGATATAACATTATATTAGAAATGTCATAAACATTTTTAGTTTCTTCTTTTTTACATGAACATATTTACCTTTTTTTTTCTTTCGAGTTTCATTCCTTTTTTACAATGCTCATATACTTGAAATGAATCATGTTGTATCTTGCCTGGTCGATGTAAAGTGTCGACGATTAGTTGTTGTTTTTTTAATTTTGTTAGAATTATAAGAGCATGTCAAAATTAATTTTGAAAAAGTACTTTCTGTTTAACTTTTTCTTTCAGAGATGAACAGATTTTTCTTTTAGGATAAACACTGTCTGTTATGTAGGATGGGATTATTTTCACAAAAGAATGTGTACATAGTACGTAAGTTAACTGTGAAAAAAATCTCTTTAACTTTTTTTCTGTAGTTTCATTTCGTTTTCTTTTTTGTTCAAACAGTATTTCGTCATTTCCTCTCAATGGCTGTCCATCTGTGGATGTGAAACACTTTTTTATATTTGTATTGTATTTATGTAGAAAGTGCAGGTGAAAAAAAGTGACATAAGTACACACAGTTTGAATACTGAAGAGATAAATTGTTTGCATAGAACTAGTTTAAAAAAGTTCATCAAGTTTTAACTTCATTTGAATTATAGGTATAAATTAAAATTTTTATCATCGAGAATGGGGCTTTGAAGCTGAGATATTAGAATATCAAAATGTCTTTGATTTATATTTCAAAAAGTACAATATTTGCTTTTAAACCACAGAAATTGTTACTGGATGAAAATCGGATATTGAGATTAATTGAATCTTTCCATCAAAAAACTGTCTTGAGAACCGATTAGTATTAGGCGAATCCAAGTGCAGGGTCTAGTTCCAACCCGAGTCTCGTACGTTTTGCAGGCAAGTTTTTAGTTGAACATGTCATGAAACATATTTCAAGATGAGAAATTAGATGAAAATCCCTAGTGGATGTACTTGATGCAAGTGTTTGATTATTCGCCAAGTATTCGACAAGTTTTCTCGCTTACTAAGCGTTTGAACAAGAACTTGGCATGTGTTTTAACTTCCTAAGTTCTTCTCTAAGTATTTGCCAAGTATCGTCACGTAATTCATTTCAGACAAGTACTTGGATGAGTCCATTACTCTTCTGTTTTGCACCGACCAGTCTTACATAAATGTCACAATTTTAATCAGTATAAACTTAGATAATAGTTTATATATTTCCACCGAGTTGAACAAACTTGGTAACTGTGCATGCGCCATGCTCTTGGCTGAAGGATACGTACAAAATACAAAATGAATGCATATTATCAGAAAAGAAATAAAGTTGGTTTTGAGTTGCTGAAAGTGCTTTTTCGTATTGAGCACACTCGATAGCCCAGATGATTTTCTATTTTTGACGAGGAGTACTTCCAAAACGGCGTAAAATATCTAATGTTCATTGCCTCGGTACCTTTGGACATAGATGCAATGGACTAACCCGATTTCAGTGCCTTTGAACTGGAGAGATGAGAGTCAAAGTTTAGAAAAAAAGAAGTAAATCCACTTGGAACAGTTCATAAGTACTGTCCTCATTACCTAACCCAAGTATTGAGCGAGTACTTGGCTCAAGTACATCCTCTAGGAAAGTTCGATGTCGAGTCCGCTTGACATTGACCTCAAAGCCGTCGAGTTGAGTAACTGACACTTTGATTTGAGGATTTTTGCAACTGAACGGCATCCTATCACAGAACTCGGACTTACCCAGTCATGGGATTGATCAGGTGGGCGATGCACTTATAATTGTCTGCTCGTATAAGCAGACAGTGTGTACTTGCTCGTGGCGCTATACATAAGGAAGTATTCGGCAAATGGCTATTAAGAATCTTATTCCAACATCCACAACGAGAAAAGGAACAATTTACTATCTTCGTAAAGACTCCGCTTTTTGCTGTTTAAGGGCCACAATCGGTCGAGAGATGTCACTAATCTGTTATCAGTTTATAGTTAACGAGCCTGTCCTTAGCAATCAGATGAAGAAGTGCATTGTAAATGGTGACATGCAAATCATGTATAGACTCAATACGCTGACATAGACATTTCAAAAGAAACGACATGTTCGGAGTTAAAAACGATTTTTCTGTTATTTCCACTCAACTTTCTCTCAATTCACGTCGTGCTGCTGGTGGAACAGAGGCACGTTCTCTGCTAGTCAACATTTATCAAATTCGTTTGTGGAAACTTCTGCACAAAGGCGAGCAACAAGATACTGAGGCGATCAATGACACCCTTAAAGTAATTAATAAACTATCACATTAATAGTAGAAACAACAAGTTTTCTGAGATGAGCAGAAAGTTACGAAGGAATGAAACTTGTCTGCAACCCATGTCTTTAATACCTGGATATATACCTGGAGATATTTTTGTCGTTCTTATATAGTACTGGACATTAAAACAAAAAGGTGAAAGAAAATTCTTTCAGCATACCGGATAGTATTCACCCTATCCGACTATAGTTAGTATAAAACATACCGTTTGGTTAACTGGCGGTATTCACGACATCAGTAAAAAAGTTCAACATAAAATAGTTTTCGATTGTTTTCGATCAAAGTACATTGACTGAAAACAAAAAGTCAGTAGGCAATGTGTGATACAAAACATCTCATAAACAGTCTAACAGACTTTTCAGAGTGCAAAAATCACCAATTGTCCTCACCCTAGTCGACATCGTTGAAGTGGCCATTATACTCTATTAAAACTTTCAAAAAATTCTAGTGGATCGGGATGATTCATCTATCACCAAAAGATGCCTAAAAATCGGAAACAAAGATGTACGATCATAAAACTGTGTGATTTTCAGAGAACCAGTGCTATAATATTTTGAGCATTAACGAAGATTTGTAGACATCTTCCATTGATCATTAGATGTTATAAAATTACACGTTGAAAGTGAACTATACTATACGATACGAGAGAAGCTAATAATTGTACCATTCATCTCTTCAGTGTAATACAAATGAATTATTGCATACTATCGTTGCGCTTTACGATTCTACACTGCCTGATATTGGTGCTGAAACAATTTATAATACGATTTGTGACAAAAAAGTTGTTACTATTCTTGTTGTTATCGGTAAGTAAACTCGATTTCTCAACCATTAATGACTGTTCATTAGTCTCATTTTTTGATTTAAAGAAAACAATAATTCTCCTAAAATAACCCCTCAACGGGAATCAGAAGATGATCAAGTTATCAATAAAGAAGATTGTCTCGATAAACTTGTAGAAGATATTAATTATCCCGATAGTGTATTTAAAAATGTGTTTTCTGATTCGGAATCTAGTAGTTCATCGGAGTAAGTTCGATCTTATATAACTCAAATGTTTTACAAAATCGGCTATTATATCTAGAGAAGACGTTGATGATGGGAACAGTGCGACTGATTACTCGACGGGAATTGGAAAATTTTTAGAAAAAGTAAAATCATGTTCAATTAATATTCAACAAAAGCTAGTGGCGTGTGTTACTTTTCAAAAAGTGACAACATTTCAACAACCGTAAGAAAAAAATAGAATTATTCGATATAAATTTCTAATAGAAATCGTATTTTTTTTATATAGCTGTCAGGAGGAACACGTTATCGATCTTCAACTAATGGCTTGTAGGAAGAAATATCGTAATAATGGTATCGGACGATATCTAGTCAAAGTAAATTTACATAATCTTTTCTCAATTCATAGTTCTTATCATAGATAATTTAGTTGTTAATGGATCGTGATTATATCGGAGAGTATGACGCTATTGTCACAGCAGCAGATCAAAAAGCAATCGATTTTTATCGTAAATTTGGTTTTACAGAAGATGCGATACTCACAAGCAAATACAGGTGAGTTAATGAAAATAAATTTTTCTTGTCATCAAAACTAAACTAGTTATCTATTATAGATTCATTGGAGATTGTTGGACAAACACCACCAAAATGGTCTACCTTCCTGCTTATCATGGTAAACGTCTATATCATAATGACTACTATCATTATAACAGGTTATACTATTAGTTTTCAGTATCAAATGATGATCCAATTCGATGTTTAACATCAATGGATGAACAGTTTCAAAAATGGTAACTAATATTGTACTCTACATAATTAACTAATCCATATAGTTGCTCTTTAAGGCAGCGGACAATGTTTAGTAGTTATCAAAACCAAGCTGCTTTATTTAATCGTTTAAAAAATGAAATGATTGGACTCTATGCAAAGGTAATCATAATAATCACTCTAAAATGTCACAAAAAATTCAACTCTATTTCATTAGATCAATACACAAGAATTGATGATAACATCATTACACAAAGAAAATGTATCACTTAGTAAGATAGATCTTTTTAATGAATAATTATTAAAAAAGTCAAATTTGTTCTTTCAGAGACACGATTAGCAAAATTAGAACAAAGACAAGGAGATAGAAGATCTAGTGAAGGTAATAGTATAAATATTATATAAAACTAGTTGAAAAGTATTTTTATCGACATTCGATTTGATTATTTAGAATTGTACGACGAAGAGGAAAATACTACTGACAACTATTTCTTGATAAAACAATTGGAGAAAGTATCACTACGAAACGAACAATCTCTCATCGGTTGGTAGTGACGAGTTCACATTTAAGGGGGGGGGGGGGGGGGGGGGGGGGGGGGGGGCGCGGGGGGGGGGGGGGGGGGGGGGGGGGGGGGGGGGGGGGGGGGTGGGGGGGGGGGGGGGGGGGGGGGGGGGGGGGGGGGGGGGGGGGGGGGG